CTCCCCCGCCAGGGTAGCTGCCAAAGCCGAAGCAGCCCTCACTAACTCCCCCCCCCCCCGCCTCCTCCGCATCCATGCGGGAAAACTCAGCTGCCAACTCTCCCACAGGGAGGTTATGGAGGGCTTCTGGGCACCTGTTGTACGAGTGCCCCTCCGTACCACAGAGGTTGCACTTGATGATATTGCAATCTCTTGCCAAGTGCCCTATCTCCTGGCAGAGAGAGCAACGTACAACTGGGCAGGTGGCAGCAAAATGCCCCTTAGCCCCACACCGGTGACAGACCCTCGGCTGGCCAGGATAAAAGATAATTAACCGATCCTTCCCCAAGAACGCAGAGGAGGGGACATGCTGGATAACATTCCCGACCACACGGAGGCGAACAGAAGCCGCCCCACCCACCGGTCCATATCCCCCGGTCATCCAGGACCTTTCCCAAGGGCCCCAACACATCTCCATACCTGCCCAACCAGACCTGGATATCCGCAGCAGGGAGGGATGGATTCATTCCGCACCAGGATTGTAACCTTCTTAACCAGGGACTGACGGGACAAAAGCCGGGGGGTCAAACCCACCCACCTGGGACTGGACACAAAAGTGGCCTCATACCGCTGCCAAAATAAATCAAGTTGGTCAGGCCGCATGAAAGAGACATCATATTCCCCGGTCCCAACCGGAGCGATAAAGGCAAAGATTTCACTTGCCTGGAACCCCATCTCCAGAATTCGGTCGATTACCTCCCTCCTACCAAGGGGGGGGGGACCCACCCCTGTCCACTTAATTTGGACAACATTGCGCCTGGCTGCTGAAGTGGGTAGGTTGCCTGCCCTTGCCCTGGCTGACCCCATGGGCACTGGACCACCCCTAACCGCCGCGGAGTAGCTCAACGCGGGCTTAGGGACACTTATACCAGGGGATCCTGCAGGAGGAACCACTGCACTGGCAGCCAAGACAGGGGGCACAGGCTGTGAAACACTGGGACCCCAGGGAGCTGGGAGGGGGGTGGACATCACCCACCGGGGCAGGGGAGCCCACCTGGACTTGACCCACAGGAGCCTGTACTAGGGGCTCAGAAGACAAATCCCCCTGAGGACTAATATGAGGCTGTACACCTGCAGCCATCACAACCCCCGAGGGGGCGGGGCCCGGCAGGACTACTGGGGAGAGGAGACCCCTAGTCAGAACCGTGGGGCGGACCTGCGCTCCTGACACATCAACAGATATGACATTTGTCACCCCCATGCCCGAGAATACCTCACCAGTCCCAGTAGCAGAGTCCTGTCCATTGTGTCCTGAGGGAAGTTCCCCAGCCTTAGCCAGCACCTCCTGCGGACTGTGATCCAGCCGCACGAAAGCGGCACGCTCCCTGGCCACCGGCTTGGCGGGTTTGCGCGGGATGACGTCACTTCCGGCGTCCACTTCCTCCTCCTCGGATGAAAACTGGAAGTCCGCATGACGCAGTTCCGGTCCTTCCTCCACCGTAAACTGGAGCCCACCTGCCAGCTCTGCCTCCTCCATCTGTGTCCCCCAATCTGTGGGATGCTGCCCAGGGGGGGGAGAGACTCTGATAATTCTGCAGCCGCACGCTCCTCCATATCAGGCCGAACCTCTTCCTCCACCGACACAGCGGGCTCAGCCAGCCCCTGTCTCCTCTCACCATCCTCCGACAACTCCACTGCAAGATCCTCCACAGATGAGGCCTCCTCCACAGGGCCCCGCACAGCCGCTACCCTGCGGCTCCTCGCGGCCTTGAACTTGGCCTCATTTAGATACCGCTCACTAAGGGCCCCACTCTTCCGCTGCAGCGCCAAAACATACCGCTCCTGTTGGGACACCTGGAGCTCCAAGGCCTCCAGACCTGGCTTCATCGCCTGCCTCTTGGAGGACCACACGCGTAAGTAAGAGGTGCGCAGCTTCTTCAAATCAAGGGACAGCTTCTTAAGCTTTGCCCCCTCCTGCTCCACCAGCCTGATCCGAGCCGCCACACGCTCCCTGTATTGGGAGGTCTCCCCCATCTTTGGGCCTGTTCCCAGGTCCTCCACTGCTGGGATTCGGAGGCCGGTACTAAGTCCCTCCAGGGTACTAACCTCGCTGGACTCAGGTCCCTCCATCCTTCCTGGACCGGGCAGGGCACTTGGGGTCCCAGGCTTTGGGGCCTTCTTCCCCGGATCACAAGGCAGGATGGATCCCCCACACCATGACACCACCACCACCAGCCTGAACCATTGATACAAGGCAGGATGGATCCACCACACCATGACACCACCACCACCATCCTGAACTGTTGATACATGGGAGGATGGATCCATGTTGTTTACGTCAAATTCTGACCCTACCATCTGAATGTTGCAGCTGAAATTGAGACTCATCAGACCAAGCAACATTTTTCCAATCTTCTATTGTCCAATTTTGGTGCGCCTGTGTGAATTGTAGCCTCCGTTTCCTGTTCTCAGCTGACAGGAGTGGCACTCGGTGTGGTCTTCTGCTGCTGTAGCCTATCTACTTCAAGGTTGGACATGTTGTGCATCCAGAAATGGTATTCTGCATTCCTTGGTTGTAACGAGGGGTTATTTGAGTTACTATTACCTTTCATCATCTTAATCCAGTCTGCCGTTATCCTCTGATCTCTGACATCAACAAGACATTTTCCTCCACACAACTGCCACTCACTGGATATTTTCTCTTTTTCGGACCATTCTCTGTAAACCCCAGAGATGGTTGTGCAGGAAAGTCCCAGTAGATCAGCAGTTTTTGAAATACTCAGACCAACTCATCTGGCACCAACATGCATGCCACGTTCAAAGTCACTTAAATCCTCTTTCTTCCCCATTCTGATGCTCGGTTTGAACTTTAGCAAGATGTCTTCACCACGTCTAGATGCCTAAATGCATTGAGTTGCTTCCATGTGATTGGCTGATTAGCAATTTGTGTTACCAAGCAATTGAACAGGTGGACCTAATAAAGTGGCCGGTGAGTGTAAATCACAACTGTTACACCCACTCATGTCACTGTATATAATCTGTCACCAACTTGAAGATACATTCTTGTTTGGTCACATTAGATCAGTCACCATTTATCCAGGAGACACCTCTAGGGGGTTCTAAATGTTCTTATGGAATTTATGTTCACCAGCAACATGGAAAACACAAAGAGCTGCCCAGTTAGATTTATTTTCTATCCATTTATATTTCTTTTATACATTTCATGGACATCCTGAACTGCTTTGAGGGCCCAATTGGATGTATTACTAATAATGTCCTGATTTTAATGCTGCTGTTTTCTGTAATAATTATATCCCGTGTCATACTGTATGTCAGAGATTTGCAGACCTCATTACTAGGAATTATTAGGATTTCTAGGAATTTGTGTCCTTCAGATACGTCTGTTCATGAAAGGGGTCATTCTTGGAGTCGGTGAAGGTTGTTAACTGCCATCATTTTGTGCAAAGTTTCCTATAATGATCTATTTCCTATTTTGTGTATGCAACTTTATTTCATAACACATACATACACAAAGTAGGAAATAGATCACTTATAGGAAACTTTGCACAAAATGATGGCAGTTAACAACCTTCACCGACTCCAAGAATGACCCCTTTCATGAACATACGTATCTGCTGGAATATCTTAAAACAAGGATACAAATTCCTAGAAATCCTAATTATGAACCTCCTCAGCAAATGATATGAACAGAAAACATTGAAGTCATTTCTTACGTTGCCATTTTTCCAGAAGATGTTACTCATATCAAACGTTTTGGGTACAAAATCCGGGTCTTGAAAAACGGAAATTTTGCTTTGAGGAAAAGATATATTACTTAAATAAAGGCAGCTCTGTACAATAAGATCGGTTGGGATTTCTCTTCTCTCATTGAAGTAGATCTCGCCTCCGTCTGGGTCGGTGTAATGAACATTTCTCACATATTTGTGCAGCTTTTCATGGAAGACAGAAATACTCACATTACTATATACAGGTATAAAGGTTCTGAAATTAAAGTCTAATTAAAAAATACAAAGTGGTTAGATCCAAGTTATTATTATTATACAGGATTTATGGCGCCAACAGTTTGCTCAGCACTTTACAATATAACGGGAGACAATACAGCAACAATACAGATCAATACAAGAGGGAGGAGGGCCCTGATCCTGGGAGCTTACAATCTAAGAGGGAGGGGCTAGTGGTACAAAAGGTAGTAACTGTGGGGGATGGACTGGTAGGAGGAATAGAAGATTCCGGTATTAGCTGAGGGCAGGATAGGCTTCCCTGAAGAGATCGGTTTTCAGAGATCGCCTAAAAGTGAGCAGAGTAGGTGATAGTCTGATAGATTGGGGTAGAGAGTTCCAGAGGATGGGGGAAGCTCTGGAGAAGTCATGGAGATGAGCATGGGAGGAGGAGACAAGGGAGCTAGAGAGCAGGAAGCTGTGCAAGGAGCGGAGAGGAAGGCTTGGGTGATATTTGGAGACAAGATTGGTGATGTATTTTGGGGAGGAGTTATAAATGGCTTTATATGTTATTGTTAATGTTTTCAATTTTATCCGTTGGGCAATGAGAAGCCAGTGGAGGGATTGGCAGAGAGGGGTGGAGGACACTGAGTAGAGATTAGTGGAGGGATTGGCAGAGAGGGGTGGAGGACACTGAGTAGAGATTAGTGGAGGGATTGGCAGAGAGGGATGTTGGACACTGAGTAGAGATTAGTGGAGGGATTGGCAGAGAGGGGTGGAGGACACTGAGTGGAGGGATTGGCAGAGAGGGATGGAGGACACTGAATGGAGGCCAGTGGAGGGATTGGCAGAGAGGGGTGTAGGACACTGAGTGGAGGGATAGGCAGAGAGGGATGGAGGACACTGAATGGAGGCCAGTGGAGGGATTGGCAGAGAGGGGTGGAGGACACTGAGTGTAGGTCAATGGAGGGATTGGCAGAGAGGGGTGGAGGACACTGAATGGGCCAGTGGAGGGCTTGGCAGAGAGGGGTGGAGGACACTGAGTGGAGGAGGCCAGTGGAGGGATTGGCAGAGAGGAGTGGAGGACACTGAGTGGAGGCCAGTGGAGGGATTGGGAGGTGGAGGACACTGAGTGGAGGCCAGTGGAGGGATTGGCAGAGAGGGATGGAGGACACTGAGTGGAGGCCAGTGGAGGGATTGGCAGAGAGGAATGGAAGACACTGAGTGGAGGCCAGTGGAGGGATTGGCAGAGAGGGGTGGAGGACACTGAGTGGAGGCCAGTGGAGGGATTGCAGAGAGGAATGGAGGACATTGAGTGGAGGCCAGTGGAGGGATTGGCAGAGAGGGGTGGAGGACACTGAGTGGAGGCCAGTGGAGGGATTGGCAGAGAGGGGTGGCAGATATGGAACGGTTAGTAAGGTGGGTGAGTTTGGCCGCATCATTCATGATAGACTGAAGAGGGGATAGCCTGCGATGAGGTCGGCCAATGAGGAGGGAGTTACAATAGTCAAGGCGTGAGATAACCAGGGAGGGAATATACATTGCTTAACCACCTCCCGCCCGCCATATTGTAATATGACGGGCGCAAGGTGGTTCTCTCATTCTGGAAGGACGTCATATGATGTCCTCCCATTCTAACCGCGCATGTGCGGTTCCGGGAGCACGCAGCGCGGCGATCGGTGGTGTGCTGTGTTCCTCGGACACAGCGAATCACGGAAAGAGCCGAAGATGGCGGCTCGGTCATGTGATCAGCTGTGTCCAATCACAGCTGATCACATGTAAACAGGGAAATGCCGGTTATCGGCATTTCTCTCCTCACGAGCTGTCACGCTGACAGAGGAGAGGAGAGCCGGTAATCGGCATTCCTCGGAGAGGACATGTACACTGATCATCAGGGCACTGATGATAAGTGTGCCCTGATGATCTGTGTAGCCCCAGCAGTGCCACCTGTCAGTGTACATCAGTGCCAGCTCTCAGTGCTCATCCATGCCACCTGCCAGTGCCTATCAGTGCCACATCAGTGCCCCATTTAGTGCCCATCAGTGCCACATCAATGCCACATATCAGTGCCCATCTGAGCTGCCTTTCAATGTCACCCATCAGTGCCAGTCAGTGCCACCTATCAATGCCAGTCAGTGCCACCTATCAGCGCTGCCAATCAGTGCCACCTATCAGTGCTAGGCAGTGCCTCCTATCAGTGTGCATCAGTGCCGCCTATCAGTGCCCATCTCCTATCAGTGCCTGTCAGTGCTGCCTATCAGTGCCACCTAACAGTGCCAGTCAGTGCCTCCTATCAGTGTGCATCAGTGCCGCCTATCAGTGCCCATCAGTGCCGCCTATCAGTGCCTGTCAGTGCTGCCTATCAGTGCTGCCTAACAGTGCCAGTCAGTGCCACCTAACAGTGCCGGCCAGTGCCACCTAACAGTGCCAGTCAGTGCCGCCTATCAGTGCCACATATGAGTGCTGCCTTTCAGTGCCCATCAGTGATGCCTGTCAATGCCCATCAGTGCCACCTACGATGAGTGCCTCCTCATTAGTGCCCATCAGTGCCACCTATCAGTGTCCATCAGTGCAGCCTATCAGTGCCCATCACTGCAGCCTCATTATTGCACATCAGTGAAGGAGAAAAATCACTTATTTATAAAATTTTATAACAAAAAACGAAGAAAAAACTTTTTTTTTTTCAAAATTTTCAGTGGTTTTTGGTTTGTTTAAGAAAAAAAAAAAATCCCCGAGGTGATGAAATACCACCAAAAGAAAGCTCTATCTGTCACAAAAAAATGATAAAAAGTATGAAAATTAATTTTCTTTTCAGACTTTACCGATCTTTATGTATATGTAGCGCCCTCTGGTGTTCATAGTTGTTGAGAATAGTTGCTAGAAGCCTGGGTTTAGACAGAGGGTTATTTCAGTCCAGGCTGGAGGGCTCTACAGGTCAGTCCTATGGTACCCCCCTGCTCTAGAAGCTTGGAGAAGCTTCTAGAAGTCAGTAAGAGGAGGTGAGGAGGGGTTGATCTGCATATTTATGGCAGTCTGACCAATCCCAGACAGGAGGCCTGGCAGTGTGGCAGACCAGCCCTTAAATTTTGACAGAACCTGGCCAGCAGAGGAGTCGGGTGGAAAATTGGATGGACTGCTAATGTGCTGCTGTGTAGCCTTGGAGGGGGCCTAGGAGAATGGGGGGAGGGACTGTCTCTAGGTTGGAAGAAGGAGGAAGGCTGAAGGAGGGAGCTTCAATGCCCTGCAGTCCACCCGGAGAAGGACACCCTGCAATGCTTGGAGAGAAACCAGCCCAGAAGAAGGCCTGAAAGCAGTTCTATCCACAGCTGCAGGACAAGGACAGTGTGAGGACCTCTACACCCCCAGGGCCTAGAAGGGAGAAGTCTGCTGGATCCAAGTTTTTGGTAAGTCTTCAGGGGACAGATCTAAGTTAAATTCCATAATAAATCCAAAAAAACAAGCCCATGGACTGGATACAAGTACAAGTAAAAATGTGTGTTGCCTGGCTGTGCAGGAAGTAAAGGAGGACCCAAAACCAGCGGCTCTCAAGAGTATGGCACTACATTCAGGAGAACCAATCATTGCAGTTTTCCTGTCTGTTACACTCAGGCTATGACTCTAGGAGAGGTCCGCAGAGGGCAGAGAAAGCTTCATAT